GACGCACTCCGACTTTGAAGAGCGAATTCTTCTCCTCTTAGACAGAGGCACTCAGACTTTGAAGGGGAAAACCCATTAATAAATGCTTGTTGGGGTTCGGGCGGGGTATCGATGGGTTGGGTTTTATCTTCTCATGCAGATGCACTCGGACTTCGAAAGAAGACACGAGTACTCTTCTTTTCTTCCTCGCGTTCACTGGCTGTAACTTCTGACTGAAAGTTTTGGTCATTTATCTACTTCTGGACTTTGATCATGTTCCAGACCTTCAGTGTTGCATATACATCCGTTTTACACACCGAAGCACTGAAATTATAAAACAAATGGTCTGAAACCCCCTTTCAACAAACCCCCTTGTCCAACAAAGTTATTAAGGAGCATGTTGAGGACAGATTCATGAGGTGCCATGCCGGGTTCCAAACAAGACTTCAAAATGATTGCACGGTATAGAAGGGAATGAAGGAATCGACTGCAAGTTCTATGTAACCTTTAAACAGCACAGCACAACACGATGACGATGACTTGAAAGATGCTATAAGAGACTAGTAACTGTTACATTTTGTTTCCTTTTCTTTACGGATTTTTGTTTATGATTTGTTAGGTATAGAACTGAGTATTCTTCTTGTTCGGCCGTTTATTCCCCAATCGCTCTTACCCGCACAGGACTTCAGCTTACACCTGGCTGGTCTAGCCAGTAAGGGCGCTATAATTATCACTTCACTGTAGGCTAAACGTCGGCTCTGTGGCTAAGTCGATGCGAACGTTTCGTAATGCCGGTATGCCGGGTTCGATCCCAGAAGCGGGCCATGCGCCTTGCGTTGGTTTTGACAGTGGTATCAAGAAAACTGACCATCCAGAAAGCAATGGCAAACTGACGGTTAGTTGCGTATCCTTTTACAGGACGTTGCAGAACCAACCCTAACAACCCCTGGCTGTTGTATGGTTTTTCTAGGCAAATTTGTCTATCATTATCGTTATAAATGAAATAAAACATTAGAACAATTTAATACAATTTTATTAACTCTTTCAGTACCAGAAGATTTGGCAGCCAATGCCCAAGTGGGCACACAATCATGAAAGCTAAATTAAGGCTAAAGCCAGACAGTTTAGCCACTCGGGTACCCAGATTTCTTTTGTATTCTTTGATCACAATAAACATGCAAGAGAACACATTGTTGGATAGCTTCACTAGGATGATCATATCACACACAACGCGTTGTTTGGGTCTGAAAGAGTTAACCACAGTTTATGTTGTTCCGATCCTTAGCAGAAAATCGAGATGCAACAAAAGAATTTAAACAGTAAAATTACAAAAACATCAGTGTTAACAACAAAATCAACATTCAGATAAACCTTAAGAAGAAATGGCCAGATGTGTGGTTTAGGGATTATAAAGACAGTTTCACAATTACGACATAGCAGGTTTGATTCAGCAGCAGTGCGATTTGGAAACAAACCACGCCTTGCGTCCATTTCGAGAAAGTTGTGAGATTCGAATCGTTCAGAAAATAGTAGCAAATTGCTAGAGGTAAAACCGCCTAGTACAGCCACAATCTACCTACAACTGGTGTTGGTTGTTGGTTTGCAACGTCTTGGAGAAGATTTGCGACTAACTTAGCAAAAGTCAAACCAATAACAGATTAAAAGTGACCGTAATGATATGTAGAAAAGATTCAATATAATTAACATTTATAGAACTAAGTACATAACATTTCAGGACACATTGGCATAAGTTTTATAAAGTAAATGACCCTCTCACGTCTTCATGTGTACTGGGCGTGTAGGGAGAAACCTAGATTTTATAGACCAATCGGTACTTGGTGGCTGATGTAGTCAGCATCACGCCGTCCGACTTTACTTCCCAGGACTCCACCTAACCTATTACCCATTCAAGTCTGAGTCGATCTGAGAGCCAGGATCAGTTTTGAAAGAAATGAACTTGTCCAGTACTGTCAGGTGAGCGTCTAGAGTTGGCTCCCACAATGGCGCCAAGGACATTTGGTTGTTGTTGTTTGTTTTAGTATCCAGAAGCCATGAGTTGTTAACCCTTAGGCTCGGTATTATGGATATCACAACCTTTCTGCCTTGATTCCATTGTAAATACCGTAAATCTGAGAGAAAATGTGGCTTTCCTGCCTACCCCCGGGATTGAACCCGGACCACAAGGAGTTCGTCACCCGGTCTCCGCGCAATCCGGTTTAGCCAACTACGCTAGAGAGCCGGGCAAGGACATTTGGTAAAATAGTAAAAAACCGTTCAACGCAAGCAACACATTGGGAATAAGATGCCAGACAATATATTTAAGACCAGTCGACACTTTGTGGATAACGTGGTCAACATCACACAGGACGACGACTTTACTTCTCAGGACAACCTGGGAATCATGTTCGATTTCTAAAGAAGAAAAAAGGGTTCTTTTCTTTTACTTCACCTCATCTCGGGGACTCCGAGATTTCGTAGGGAAAACCCAGGAAAGTCCAATAACAAAGGTGTTTAGGGACGAAATGAACATTGACTAACACTAACCCTAAACACCCCCTCCCCTCCCCCCCTTTTTCACATTATTGGAATTTCCCAGGGTATTTCCCACGAAATCTCGGATTCCCGAGATGTCATGGGGGAGAAAACAAAAACTGAAACAGAAATTACTTGATGCGAATTGCAACCCGTAACCTTTGGGACCTAAGCAAGCGTCTTGCCGCTATACCACGTGGCTCCCATTTCCTGACAAACATTTACATAATTATCTAGGAGCTCTATTTTAATGCTCCATCTAAGGATTGAATCCTTTTCTCACTAAACAGACAAACAAACAATCCACAGCGATCACGTGGTTACCGAGTATTTAGTGATAGTATCATTTAAAAAAAAAAAAAAATCGCCCTTAGATTCGGTCAGTTTAACGCCGAAAGAAGCACTTATTGATATGTCTTAGGCTTGAGCTAAGTTAGCATAGTGAGATGACGTTAGCCTTCCATACTGAAGGTCTTGAGTTCAAATCGGCTCACATGAAAATGCTTTTTTTTGGACACTGACCTTGGCTCCCAGGTTGAACCAGCCTAGAATTGGTACCTGGAAATGAATTGGGAAGTAAAGACGACCGGCGTGATGCTGCTACACCCTCGCAGCGCCAGTTTGCTATCAAATTAAGTACAATATCCATGAAGTCATTACGTCAGCCGTTAGAAGTCCCACTTACGTCTCTCTCGTTCCCAGACGTTTGCAATCTCTCTTTCTCTCTGGTAAACCCCCCCCCCCCCACATCCCCACCCACCCCACCTGCAGGGAAGAGGCAAGACAGACACACAATCAGACTGCTAACTGTATCATTGGAAATGCAACTCTGCGGCGGCTGCTGAAGATGAGGACGCATCGCTTATTGGAACCTCCCAATTGCTGTGATGTTGATTCGTAACTTCCCTCCACTCAGCTTTCTCTCTCTCTCTCTCTCTCTCTCTCTCTCTCTCTCTCTTTCTCTCTCTCTCTCTCTCTCTCTCTCTCTCTCTCTCTCTCTCTCTCTCTGGAGCTGGACGCGGCCACACTGCAGCTGTACCTTCATTGCAGAGCCTATAGTCCTAGAGAAAATATTTCTATCGGTATTCTCCTGCAAGTAACTCATTTTTTAGTAGATGTGCCATTTGTACTATGAACACAGACGAACCGACGAACTAATTATGTTTTATCCTTGAATCTTCGTTATATGCTAGACCTACAATAACTACAAGATATGTTGATATATGGTTTTAATAAGTTGCTGATATGTAGCCAAATGTCATCATCTTCAGCATACTCAAAGCCTGTAAACATTTCATGAAACTGCATTATCGTTTAACTCCATTGTTGTCTAAAATGCCGAAAATATGTCAGCACTTGAGGTTTGAAGGTTTTGAACACTGGATCAACATCACGGCACACGGGTGTAACCCATAAATGCTCCGTTCTTCTTCTAACTCAAGTTTTGAGTCTAAAGAAACTCAGCACAGTGCACAGGCTCTGTACCACCGGCGAGGATCCTGAAATACTTTGATAGATTTTTAACTCCAAATTGTGCACGGGCAGCGCCGTTAGGCTACTTTTTTTTCGATTTCCAACTGCCAAGGGATTTTTTACGCGCGTAACATGCCACACGGGTGTCCGATCTCACTACCCAGAGACCAGGGGGGGGGGGGGGTGGGAATTACTAGAAGTCCAAGTCCATGTGAACAAATACCAGCTTTTACCCGGGATTGAACCCGGAAAACAAGCACTCGAGGCGGACACCATGCCTTGAGACCACCCAGCCAATTTCTGTCAGTACTATTAAAACTATGTGTATGAAACTTTTAAATGGCGTCTTTGGCCGCCCTCGTCCTTCTCCTTCTATCTGCTAGGTGCTTTACTAAAAAAAAAAAATCACCTTCAACCAACATCCCCGAAATGGGGGCATTAGGTTATAATTGAGACTAGCTCATGCGCACAACGTAAACTAGCCTAGCATTGCATGCCACCACAGTCTGAAAATGCTTGCAGTGTTGATGAGATCACAGGGGACAGACCCAAATAATGTCCCAACCGGCGACGAAGTTGTCTGCTGGAGAGCCAATGGGCGACACTGTCGCCGATAATGATTCACTTTGATCGAGGTGTGTTTTAAATATTTGTGAGTTAATGCTAGGCATAAGATCTGTCATAAATACAATATAATGTATGCCGTTGTGGGGCGCTCAAATGCATGCTGCAGCTAGTGATGATAGCTTAGTATGAGTTGTCCAGTAGGCTATGGTACACTTGCTCCTTCAGCAAAGCCTTCTCATACGACAGGTTCGAATCCTTATATACGTACATTTTTAATCTTTTGTGCTGCCTGGTAATGTTGTATCTGCTGCTTTCCTTTCGGTGCCAATCAGTTCCTGTAAATTTATGTTTCATGGCATTTCAAATAACTCAAAGGAGACCCCCCAACTGACCTGTTCCCAGGTGAATGCACAACCGAAATCAACAATAAAGGCTTTTGTACAATAAAA